ATCTGAAATCCGTATTCCATTACTTGCTAAATTTTTGAGTTCTATGACACTTAATTAACTTGTGAGTACGTGTAATTTGTACTATATTTATGCAAGTACTTTGGCTATGATCGACCGCTGGCGTAGTTATATTAAAATCGCGTAAAGCAAAAATATACATACAATTTTAAAAGACGATTGCTAAATTTAGTACAAAATTGGCCAGTCAATTTTAAAAAAGATAGGGAACTATGATTTTGGAGTTACTGCGAAGTTTTGGAACTATTTTGCTTAGCGTAGGTAGCTGACTAATTGTGTTCACATCATAGTAAATCTGAATTTGTCGTTATTACATTGGGGGCGCATTGCGCATGCGCCCCCAAAAATCACAAAATGACTGTAAATATTGTAACTCAATGAAAAGTCTCTAAATCCAACTGATTCCGTATAATAACAAGTACTAATACTTTCTGTGTCATCCAATGACTATAAAAAGTGTAAACACCTGTCGAATAATCTGAAGTGCGAAATGTTTAAAGTATTATCTGAAGTAATTCTTAAACTCATGTCTAAAGTACTCTGAAACCGATTCCAATAATTGACTACAAAAATGAGATAATTTAATCGAAAGGAAGTATTTATTTTGTAGGTCGTATTAGTGTAGAAAAAAAAATTGTATTGGATAAATAAGTCGAACACGATAACGTTTACATTAATTGGTCAACCCATTATGATATGGGTTGTGCAAGTTATTCAGTTATTAAATTTTGCACTTTTACTGCAACAAAGAAGAATTCAATTGGATAAAGACATGTAAATCAGAGTAGCGTAGTGGTTATAGAGTATGTATAATGAGTGTATATTAAGAAAATGCTTTTTTCGAGTTCAAATCTAAAAAGGTGCATTTTTATAATGTCTGTATGGTTTTTACTTTCAGAAAACATTTTTTTTTATCATATTCTCTTTTATAAACCTGTGATTAATTTAATATTTTGTATAATTTAAAGTTAAACTTATAACGATTTAGCAAAATTGAATGTATTTACATTTTTACAGTCATCAAACAGATTGAAAAGTATTGTCAATTTAATTCTATTTAGAATTCAATTCTGAATTCAATTTGCTACAGTTTTTAACAATTTTGGCTCATTTGTATATCTATATATTTAAATTTCTTACATTTATCACTCTAATTACGACTGTGTTGCCTCTAACTTTACTTGTTAAAAGCAATTGTGTGCAATTAATGTTCTCAAATAGTATTGTCATAAAATCCAGTTCTTTGAAAAATATATAAAAACAAAAAAGAAAAGAAAAGAAAAAATGCCTTTTCCAAGAATCGAACCAGGTGTACACTGACGAAAACCAACACTCAACGACTACGCTATTACGCTGAACAGTTAAAAAATGAGTAATTGTTTACTGTTTAGGTAGTTTAAGATTTAAGTCATAAATAGTATACTTTTATATAAGAATTATCGACACCCCTTTTTGTCTATATTGATGTAAACAGATAATGAAAGGAATAGCGAATTCGAGTTGTACTACAAATTATATAGTCTGGTATTTAGTGGCATTAAATAACTCATTAATTGCATTCTGAAGATTGTTGATTTATTTGAAATTTTAATTTAACAATAGATATGGAGGAAAGATAAAAACAAACTTTACGTTCTAGCCGAGTAAATCTGCAAGAACAGTCAATTTATGTCTAAGCAAGGTAGGTACTAAAACAGCAAAATCAGAACAATCTCTAGAAGGGATAGGCTTAAAAAATAGTAAAGATCTCGTTTCTTCTGCTTTTATTTCAAAGACACACATAGATAATAAAACATATATAAATCTCTTGCGCTCAATATGACATAAAATAACTCTATGTCCATTGTAACACCAGCAATCATGATACTAGATTTAGCAGCATGATATTTTACAATATCTAAATATGTAAATGCTAAATGAAGGTAAAATATAAATTTATTCTTGCTATCAGTATGCAGTTTAACATAATACAAAATTTCAATTTAAACTAAAGCATGCATGTGCATCTTTTTTTCAAAAGCACAACATTGATCAATTTGAACATGACGTAGAACATCAAAAATATTTACAAATTTTGAATTGGCCGCTTTCTTTTTTTTCACTTTTTTTTTTCAAAAATAAATCGCGTACATGCAGTAGAAGTGATAAGATGATATATGTAAGTTCGTCTTGTAGATTATATGAATGTTTCATAACTTTATAATTGAAACGTTACATTCCATGGTCAACCGCTGATTGAAAACTCACAAAACTGTTACTAAACTTGTATCTGCTCATCGTTTAGGGATGAAAGCTTGACACCAAGAACACAATGATATATGGAAAAACTGTTATAAATCTTAGATATCACAATCGCATCCTATAAAATGTTATAACTTGTACAAAGTTATCACTGCAAAAACTGTGAATAAAATAACACTGTCAAAGTAATCTACAATAAAATACCATAAAACAATTCAATAGTTCTACATAAATATGCTGATTTACTTAATAAAATGTGTTCATTATATTTTTATGGAATGGCAAAATTAGTTATGTTATAATAGAAATTATACCTAACCGACCGATGAGTTCACCAAAGTTAAATCATTCTCAATTTTAGGTTTACCACATTACACTTAATGTAATAAATCTCATAACTATCGTTCTATATGTAGTGAAATTGTAAGTTTCTTTCTAAAAACTATACCTCAAGCTAATTATTCCTATGATTTCTTTTTTTTTATTTAAGAATTAGTCTGGAAGCATTTTTGCACATTATAATCTTTCAATACCAGCTGTAAAAATTATTTATTAACATTAGATACCTGATGACAACTGAAACCACTTTATATTGTAAGCGATTTACATTAATATTTTGAATTATAATCTATAAAAACAATGGATAATACGAGTGTCAGTTTTTTTGAATTAATAAAAATATCTTAGCTCTACATTAACAAAATACATACACTTTTTGTTAAAATGAAAAAAAAAAAGATTACAAATTATGTATAGATCTACACGTACTTTTCTTTGTTAAAATTATTTGTCTTTTTCTTTGTTAAATCATAAGGCCGTAATGAAAATAAGTATACATGTTCCCTTTTTGTTAACTCTGTATTTTATTTTTCTAGATAAGGATATTATTTTTATAAATCAAACTTCATCATATCAATTTATTATAGATGCTTCATAAGTTTGCATGGAACCTATCAGATTATTTAAGGTGTTGCTGAATACTTCTAAGAAACCTCTTTATTACACTTCTTTCAACTCATTTACCTTTAACATAGTAGTAGTAGTTTGTAGTAGTTTATTCTTTTATTCCATTAGGCAATATGCCCATGATGGCATTACAAGCATGTTATAAATGGCGAACAATAACAAGCAAAATGTACCTAAAACATCAATAATTGGAGAAGTTCGAACATGAATATTACAAACATAAGAACATACACACACGCGCACGCACGCACGCACACACGCACACATACACACACATATACACACACACACACACATATATATATATATTTATATGTACATTCATATAAGTCCTACGGATGTAATGCGCAGATCATATTGATATACATGTATTCATAAATTATATTTGATACATTAAACCGATCTCAGTCTTTATGTCTAGAACGACCTCCATATCGAGCTATTGGTCTTGACGAGACGAAATTCAAGACCAATATTAAGGAGATATCGTAAGTATTTCATAAGAATTTCACTTTAATATTTTTATTAACATTTAATAAGGATGTAATCCTAAAATGTATCGAGAGTTGGAGAAAAAAAATAATTGTATCGTATTACTTCCGTACAACACATTATTTCGCATTTCAAAGCTTTAAATACATAAATTCCAAGTTTCCTAACAATTTTTACATTTTCTATTGTTAACAATTCAATAAAATTAATCATGTTTGGATGCTTCCAATATCTTTTATGTATATATATTTTCCTTAAATTAGTGTACAATGAACATTCAAGAATTAAAGGATAATTGTCTTCTAACATATTACATATAGTACATTTTCTTTCATCAATTGGTGTTCTTAATGGTCTAGTCCATCTACCTGCCTCTATTTGCAATCTGTGAGTAGACACTCTTAATCTTATCAATGAAAAACAAAACTTATTAAATGTAATTTGATCTAGATATTCTTCAAACTTGAAAACTGCTATATTTCTATAAAACATATGTATCTAAGCTCTATTGTTTCGCAAGTTCTAGCGTTCATTTAAGTCATGTGTAATTCCGATGCCTAGTATAAAGAGAGCATATACCTACATGAAAAGACAAACTCCAGTTCATAAATCTTAATTAACGCCGTTCTAAATATGTGTCAGTTGTCTTTTTGTAGTGTTTCGTACATCTGATCAGTTGCGTTAGCTTTATAACTTTCATATTCATTTGACGAGTTCTCACGATGTATGCTGTAACAAATACTATCCTTATCAGGCGTATTGTAATGCTCTTTTTCCAAAATGTTTGTGTCCGACTGTTGGTTACTAAGGTTTTGCGTTTTGCTATAAAGAAATAAAAAAGAATTATCAAAATATATGACGATAAACACCCTAAGGACTCGTGGCGAATTCTAAAGACGGTGCAGTTTTTTTGCGATATACCTTTAATATGACATACATATTCTGTAATTTATAAGAATGGTGGTGCATTAATTGCATTAATTGATTTAACAATAGGAGAAAAGGAAAATATTAGAATTTACCACTTTATGATGTTGTTACAAATAAACTATTGGGGGAATTTTTAAAAATAAGCTGCTAATATTTTATCAAAATCAATACAAATTGAAATGAAGTAAAATTATTCCATTGTTGATTAATTTGTTACTCCGTTATGCTTGTATTAATTGTCTGGCTAACATTACAGGAGAAATCTCATGAGCCTTTTGGCAAAGCCAAAGCCAAAGTACATTCACGCGATTCAAAGGACGGAAAATAAACAACTTTGTATATCAAGCTTAGTAGATAGTAAATGTAATCTGTATTGTATGCAACGATTATGTTTTACTTTTTCTTTATTCAAAAGAAATTATATCAATATTAACCCATGTGTTATATATGACACTCGACATTTATAAATTTTAAAGTTTTATTGCTTTCTAATTATTGTGTACTTACATTTCGCAATTTAGATTTTGGGTTTCTGTATACACATGCTGGTACGTTTCATCCGATTTAGCATTGTCTTGCCTATCTAGACCTTCATAAACATTTTGGTCAGGTATTTCATAAGTGTTAGTATCATACTCGGTTTGTTCTGTGTTCGGTTCTAAGTCAGACACTGCGACCTCATTAGATTGATTGTTTATTTTTTCTTTAACAGACCGATGCCTGAAATGTACCAAACACTAGATACATCATTACAACAATCGTTTTAAATGTGAATGATGATAAGAAATTATATCAATATATACCGATGTGTTATATATGACACTCGACATTTATAAAAGTTTTATTGCTTTCTAATTATTATGTATTTACCTTTCGCAATCTGGATTCTTAGTTTCTGTATACAGATGCTGGTACATTTCACTCGATGAAACATTGTCTTGCCTTTCTAGACCTTCATAAACATTTTGGTCAGGTATTTCGTAAGTGTTAGTATCACACTCACTTTGTCCTGTGTTAGGGTCTAAGTCAGACATTGTGACTTCATTTGATTGATTGTTTCTTTTTTCTTTAAAAGACCGATGCCTTAAATATACAAACACTAGATCCATCATTACAACAATCGTTCCAAATGTGAGTTATGATAATACTATTTAAGGAACTCCATTGAGGTTTTTTGACATGATGGGACTGAAAATATTTTTCCAGATAAATGTACAATTTGATGTAGGATTAGACAAATAAACTTTGTGCAAAATTTCAGATCATTCCCGCTCATCGTTTTTCCAGAATATTTATTCAAATTGTTAAAAGATGACCCAAAATGAAAAGCGTTTAAATGCTTTTCACTCAAATTGGCCTAAGAAAAACATAGAAATACGATTTTCAGTTTATTTCAAAGTATATTTCTTAACTGTGTCTGCATATATATCTGTTTATAGTGCCCCAGCTCATTTATGTAAGAAATTCAAATGTTTTGTTTATAGGATTTTAAACCTCAGTGGAGTCCCTTTAAGATGAAATGTTACCTTTTTATAAGCATCACTTGTACAATATAACTACGCGGTATTGAAATAACATTTCAATCAGATAATACGAGTACATGCAACTATACTTATAATTATATTATTAACAAGTGTGCAAATGTTATAACAAATCAGCAACAAATCATCGTCGGATACCTACGGCAGATTTACATGCACTATTAAATGTAATCATCTGTTGGTAAATTGTGTCGATAAACAGCATCATGTACATAAAATATAAACCAATGAAATCGCGTTCAGCAAAATTGATATTCTCCGAGATGATAGTCAAACAATTATCAGAAACAATATGGCAGTGTCCACGATGTAAACCTGTTTCGCTTGTCTTGCCAATATAAAAGGCAAAACTATCCACAAACAAAATAGTTCCTCAAGCAGAGACCACAGTTGTTATATATTTTCTAGAATTAACTACTCATCAAGAATATAGAACGAGCGTTCGGTTTTAATCGGCTCAAGAAATCGTGAGGCAACCGATGAAAAGTTGTCTTTGGCACACCTCTTATCAACTCAATATCGCGAAATAATATGATGATGATAATGTGAATGGTTCGGCCGTGGGTATCCAATGTACAATACTGTAAAACACTGGATTAAACCACCAATGTGGTACATGTACTGATGCTGCAAGACATTCTGTACCGTATGTACGTAATTGTACATTTTTTCGCAAATCACATGATTTATATTGTTAGTGTATTGTAAGATTTGAAATGTTGTATTTTATCTTTTATCTTTTTCTTTCCACGATAGTTAGTTTGTTGTATTGATACAGGTATATTTATAATAATAATATTTTCTTTAAAGATTTTATTTTCTCTATTTGATTGCATGGCTAAAATAGCTTTCTTGGGAAATCCGAATCACAATAAAGGCAAAACAAATGCAGAGGAATGCAAGAAATAGCTTAAATAGATCTAAACTATGAGTCTGATTGCTCTGATTTCCAATTGGCTTTAATTCTATTTTGTTTGTCAAGCAACACATCAACATATGCTTGTGTATAAATATAACAAATACAAAACAAAAATCATATTAACAATTATAGAACAAACCTTCTGCAAATTATAACGATAAGTATTACAAAACCTGCCGAGCAGATGAAAGCAGCGATACATGCAGCCACAATTGGTACTGAAAAACAAGCATTACTATTATGATTTTTTAATATACGTTTAGATATACAGTGGTAACTTCATTTTTGGTAATGAAATTGCTACCTTAACTTTTTCTTTATAAATTCAATATTGTTTTATAAATACACACTTCGAAATTATTTGGAGAGATGTTTTTTGGGGAAAAGTTATTCTTAACAATATACGGATCTTATATGAAAATATGTATGAAAACGCTAAGTCATGCATTTTTGTAAATAAAGTAAAAACTGATTATTTCCCTTGACATGTGGGCGTCCGACAGGGTGAGAATTTATCTCCCCGGCTTTTTTCTGTATGTTTAAATGATATAAGTGATTTCATTAACATCAGTAAGAACACATTAAGGTTGAAATTCACCATAATGAGTTCGAAACTGTTGCTATATATTTTGTAAACTTTCCATGCTTCTTTGCGCAGACAGAACTGTTTCAATGACAGAAATTGCAGGAAAAACTGCAAAACATTTTAAATATCTTCTGTGATTACTGTGATGCTTGAAAACTTAAATTTAATTCTTTTAAAACAAAGTTCTAAATTTTTTCAAGGGTAAAATACTCTTCTATACTGTTACATTCAAAAATCAAAAACTTTAGATATCGTAAAAGAATACAAATATACAGGTGTCTGTTTCATATTTTTCAAAACAAAGCAAAAAATTGCCAAACATGCTACAGAGGAATGTATTTTCAATAAAAAATGTCCAAACATCTCTGCTAAACCGATGAATTTTCAAATAGATCTTTTCTTTCAACTTCGCGGTTAAGGTATTATGCTACACATACAAAACTTCAAACTTCATTTCAAAGTATGTCATGTCTCAAATAAAACAAATACATTTATGTCACATAAAATACCTTCTTTGTTAGAATAACTTTACAATTATAAGACAATTTTGTAAACATATAAATATTTTATACTGAACCAGAGGGCCATGATGGCCCTAGAACGCTCCCGTGACCCATTAAGCAGTGTCTTATACAGCATCCAGACCAAGTTTGATGACAATTGAATAAACAATATGACCTCTAGTGTGTTAAAAAGGTTTTTCCGAATTTGGCAATGTAACCTAGTTTTTGGCCGGAGATCACCCATATTCAAACTTGACCTAGAAATTTTGAAAATAACCTTCCTGAAAGATCAAAACTGCCTCTTCTAAAGTGTTAACAAGCTTTTTCTATTTTTAGCTCCTGTGACCTAGTTTTTGACCGGAAATAACACATCTTCGAACTTGACCTAGAAATCATCAAAACAACCTTCCTGACAAATTTCCAGCATATTTATATCAAAACTGCAGCCACTAGAATGTTAACAAGATTTTTCTACTCTTAGCTCCTGTGACCTAGTATTTGACTGACCAGAGAAGCAACATCTTCAAACTTGACCTAGAACTCATCAAAACCACCTTTCTGACAAATTTCCAGAATATTTTGAACAAAACTGTAGCCACTAGAGTGCTAATATTTTTTTTATTTTTAGCTCCTGTGACCTTGTTTTTGACCGGAGATGACTCATTTTCTAACTTGACATAGAAATCATCAAAACAACCTTCCTGACTGATTTTCAGAATATTTAGATCAAACCTGTAGCCACTAGACTGCTAACAAACTTTTTCTATTTTTAGCTCCTGTGACCTAGTTTTTGACCCGAGATAACTCATCTTTTAACTGGATCTGTATTTCATTGACAGAAACATTCTGACAAAGTTTAATGTTGATCCAATTAAAACTGTATCTGCTAGACTTTTAACAACCCAATTGTTGACGACGAACGACGCATGACGACGGACGCCGGACAGAGCCCCATCACTATACCTCACCTTGACCACTTCGTGGTCAGGTGAGCCTAAAAAAAGAACCAAGTACGTATTTACAAATGAATCCTATCGACAAGTGCAGCACCTAGACCTCTAGAAAAATACTAAAAATAAGAAAAATTTTAACGTACATAACATGCTTTTTATGTATTGATTATGTCTTATTTGTATATTAAAATATATTGAGCTAAAAAAATTATAAAGGCTATTTTGAAATTGTTGAATGAAAAAATCAAAATCAACATTTTTATGTATGTCACAAGCAGTTGTCACTTAAAAAAATTCTACTAAATGTCATTTGCGTCGCAAAAGTTGTTATCAATCATATATATACATATTGTAATAAATAAGTAATGCCGTTTCGTTTTATTATAAAATGAGCTAATTAATTTAATTTTGAATCTTTACATTAACTGATAAAAACCTTCTGCGATTTTTGAATTTGAATGATACATTGATTTTCAATTTGTTAGAATATACCTTTAATGCCACTACTTCCGTTTTGTGTTGAATTTTCAGGATCGACTCTTGTTTGAGCAGTTGACTTCTGTTTTTGTGTTGGCAATGTATGATATTTAGACATTGTTTCAGTCACCTGACTTGTTAAATTTGAAACTGGTATCGTTTCTGTTGTTGATTCTGTTGTTGATTCTGTTGTTGTTGGAGTTGTTGTTGTTGGTGGTGTTGTTGTTGTTGTAACAAAATTTTTGCAATGAATAATGAAAGTGGCGTCTTGACTTGTGTATTCTAAAAAGAAAAAAAGTCTTAACCGTAAGTCTTAACCGTGGTTTAAAGCTTATTTGGTATGCTTAATGTTTGGCCATCTCAAGATTTAAAGTTAAGGAACACACACACACGCATGCATGCACGCACGCACCGCACGCACGCACGCACACACACGCACGCACGCACACACACACCAACACACGCACACACACACGCACACACACACACACACACACACACACACAACCTACCTTAAACATATAACAAGAATCATTGAATGATTACGTTTTGGGATGTTATGTTCAATTTAAATTCAAAATAACTACAATGTATCAAAATGATCTGTAATGTATATGCAGTACGTACTTGGATAGATGGCGAGACAAGCTCCCTCTTGTTCTCGAGTTGTATTAGTAATAAACATAAGCTTAGTGTTTTCCTGGATACGAACTGTATGTGAGCTACTTTTTGTATCAAGAACTTTTCCCTTTATTTCAAATTTCAATGGTGACCCTTGAGTGATATGTAACAAATTAAACACCAAAAAGGCGTTGTGACTAATCGGTGATATGCGACATTCACAAGATGTTTTTCTTAATTTAGGTGCCCCGAGAGTATCAATATAAACAGTCGTTGAAATGTGCATACTGTCCACTGTACATATTCTTAAAACTGTAAGAAAAATTAATATGATTATTTTATCATAATATATGCCTTTTTTATAAATGTTCAAGTTTATGGGTATGAAATAAAGTTTTTTTTTATAACGAGGTAGCAAATATAAGAAAATAACAGAGATGAAGCATGTCTAAAACTCTCAGTTTTATCATAATGAGGTTTTTAACATAGAAGGGCGGATTTCCAGACTAGAAATATATGCTGTTTAAGTTCGAATTTAAAATCTTAAATATGGCTGTCCTGTTTCACAATTTCTGCGCTTTTTGAGTGTTTGTGTTAAACTGATTCAGTACCATCTTCACTAATGAATAATAGTCACATCATCCGTTTAAATGCCATTTAATGTATGTGTATCAGCATCCTGATTATCTTTAAATAAGACAATGATGTTAAAATTAATCTTAATGTATTGTAATAAACGTTTGAAACATAAACGTTTTACTTTCTAGATTAGACAAACTGTTAACATAATGTATTCTACTTACTCTGTGTACTTTCGGACCTGCTACAGAATCCTTCTGGGAGACTATGTGAGTCTGTCAAATGTAAATTTTAAACAATATGAAGCTCTTTCATTATAATTCAGCTGTATTGAAACAACTGCTAATACCAAGTGTAAACAATAGTTTTACAGGTAGCTGCCATACAATTAAACTTAACGATGATACACTTTACTTTTTAACCTGTTGATTTTAATTATTCTACATGATTTCATGTTATTGATCAAATAAAACAGAATTATTTAATGAAAAAGAAAACAATTGAGATAATAAGATTTAAATGATGAAACAATACAAACATATAAACAGAACAAATGTACATTTGCATATAAAATTAAAATGTAATTAACTTACTGTACATGATAAACAAAATGATAAACGCTAACAATTGAAGAAAATACATGTTTCAAAATGCATTAATGCTATCCTTGTCAAGCACTATCACAAGTGAAGTATTGATATAAACTGATGCAAATATATTTCAAGTACGTGAACTGATGATTACATTTGTGATCTGCATCATCTAAACATATCTAAATATATGTAGCATATTTTATAATACAAGTTTATTGAGGTATACAACGCAACGCTTTGCAAACACAGAGGTTATTAAAAATGTTACGTTGATAAACAAAAGAAATTTAATTGTCCTACACTTAAAAATCTTAGCATATTATCAACTGCTTTGATTTTTATAAAACAGTTAACGAAGACATGGATTTTCCTGACTGAAATGTCTTAAATATTTCAAAATCTACTTTTAGTGTTAGATTTATGAGTGTTAACGGTGGAAATTGTCATCCCTCAGCAAGAAGAAATTTTACTGTAGCTCAGTTCATATGTACTTTTTTAAGCAATTGTAAAAGGTGTGATTAGAAAAATAACAAAAAGCTTTAAATTTTATAAAACTTTCAAAATTCCATTTTATTTAGTTCCGCCGATTGTTTTCTCGTTTAGAGCACACGCATTTTTTTACTTGGGGACCATATGCCGCTTTTCATGGAATGGCAATAACATGTCATATTGAAGGTTCAGTGATTACCGCCATATGAACACATCTGCGGATGTTTCAAAATTCTAAATTTTACAAGTTCATGTTAAATGTTGAAGTCTGCTTAAGCCAGTGGTAGGCGCGTGGACGTTAGTTTGCACTTGACAGTAACGTCTTTCTTTAGGGATTCTTATTGCAGTCTTTTGTTCTAAGAATAAACTTAATTATTTACACTTTATAGAATTACAGTATAAATGTTTATCTTAGCAATTGTGATTTTCTTCCCTGATGTAAATACATTTACTTTAAAAAGATTTGCAAGGGGTTTTCCAGGAAATCGTGGGCAGTTTCGATCTTAAAGGATATACACAACATATCAATGCCAAATTTAAGGTTCTTAAAATAAATATCAACAGCAAAATTTCAAAATAACAGAGGTAAAAGTTAACGGTAAAAAATAAAATGGACATGTTTGACATGGTTGTGCGTTTTCAACTTCTACTTTTATCTTTTACATATAGTCACAATATCGAGGGTATTTCAATGCTATTATGGCAAGATTGAGGTCATTATGAAATTTTTGCAGCCTTGGTAGATCTACTCGAACTTATTTTTTTTCCATATTAGGCGTCGGAGTGAATGAGCGCACGTGCAAATTGACGTTCAAGATGACTCCTGTCGTTGAATCAATGTCAATTTGAAGTCATGTTTGGAATTTCTGAGGGTCATGGTTTGTCTTTTATATACAGTAACAATATCTAGGGTTTTTTAATGCCGTTATGACAAGATATAGGTCATTACGCATTCCTTACAGACGTGCGACTCAAAAGTCTTTTGTAGTATTTCTGAGGTTCATGTTTTGTCTTGATAACAGTTATTGTTTTTTCCTCTTCAGATTATATAGGGGCGTCTGTGCCCGAGTGGTTAAGGTCGTTGACTTCAAACCACTTGCCCCTCACCGCTGTGGGTTCGAATCCCGACATACTTTGGATTCTTTCATGTGAGGAAGCTACCCAGCTAGTTTACGGAACGTCGGTGGTTCGTGTCTGAAATAATGCACGGAGGGGCACCTGAGGTCTTCCTCAACAAGTAAAGCTGAAACGTCGCGATATGACCTATACTGTGTCAAAGTGACAAACAAACAAATCTTTAGATTATAAATCTTCAACGCTTTGTTGTTTGTGATTGATTATGTCAACTCGCCCATTAAATAAAATAAATGCGGAGTTGCAAGGCGGCAAAAAATGCAAAATGACCTAAATATTGCATTTATAGCGTTGAAATACCTTAGATAATTATTGTTACTATATTAAGTAACATAGGTAATTATCATTTGAATTTATTCTAAATCGAATGATACCTTGTATTTCAGTTTATTAGAATATACCTAAAATGCCTATTCTTCTGTTGTCTGTAGAATCAAGACCGACTTTTGTTTGAGCAGAAGACTTTTTTGTTGACAATGTGTGGGATTTAGAATTTGATGACAGAGGAGCCATTATTCCAGGCACTTGACTTGCTGAATTTGAAACTGGCATCGTTTCTATTGTTGTTGCTCTTGATGCAACCTTTTTGCATCTAATACTGAATTTGACTTCTTGACGTGGGTTCCGGTTTTCTAAAACTAAAACAAAAAAAAACTTACAGAAGTTAACACTGATAAACATCGACTAACTTATACCTTATTATATGCCTTCGCAATGATTATGGCAACGGGACATGTTGTATAACTACTGTCCGTCTGTCTGTCTGTGTGCTGACATGCATGCATGTCATGCATCAAGGACTTTTAAATATCATGGCACAAATGTTAAACATATTGAGAGAGCGTGGCATGCGCAAGACCTATGCCCTTAACCGCAAGGTCAATGTCACAATATGAGCTGTAAGATTTTGAAAAAACAAACTTGACACAAATGTATAGCATGATGAAATAGTGTGTCGTGTAACAGTTACCTTACCTTCAAGGCAAAGGTCGCACGCTAAGGTCGTATCCGGGAAATAACTACAAGTATTTCATGCATTAAGAGATTTAAAACACTTGGCACAAATATTAAACATGATTGGAAATGTGCCATGCGCAAGACTTAGACGCCTTTCTCAAATGTCACATTTAGGTGGTCAAAGGTCAGCAGATAAACAATTTTGTCCGGTCCATAATTTTATTATGCTTTAAATTTTGAAACCAAATGGCACAGATATTAAACATTATTAGATAGTGTACCATGTGCAAGACTTAGACCTTGGCTCAAAGATCACACTTAATGAGAAGTCAGAGGTCAGAAGTAGAAAATCTTGACAGGTCTATTACTCTGTCATTCTTAAAGGGTTTTATAAAAAATAATACAATTACTTGGCATAATGAGACAATTAATCATGCGGAAGATGTAGACCCCTAGCTACAGGGTCAAGGTTACACTTCAAGGTCAAATGTCCGTAATTAAATAGTCTTTTATGTCCTATAACTCTGTCATACATCAAGGGATTTTAAAATAACTGAGCACAAATGTTAAGCCAAATAATTCGGTTTGAAATGCGCAAGCTCCAAGGTAAAGGTCAAGCTTAGAGGTCGTAAGTCAGCAGTTTTATGACAGTGCTCGGCGCATTATTCATCAACAAGGGAATTTGAAATAACTTGGCAGATTGTCTGATTAGACAATGTGTCATGCACAGGACGTAGACCCCTAGATTCATTGTCAAGGTAACATTTAATTGTGAAAGTACTAGAACAGCAGGTAGAAAATCTCGTTCGACCACATACTTTGTCGATGCATCGATGGATTTTGAACGCGGCACAAACGTGAAGCTTGAGGCAGCTGTCATGCACAAGACTTAGACTCTTTACCCCAAGGTCAAATATTTAAATGTCATAATTATATTAGCAGTAAGAAAATATTGTCCGATTAATAACTCTGCCGTCATTTATAAAGAAATTTTAAGTCACTTGGCAAACATCTGACCTGTCATAACATCTGTATTCATATTTTTGTTGTCCTAACATATGTAGCATGATATATTTCAACTCCATTATTGTTTACACTTTCTGACCTGACCCTCCGGGATAAATGATTCCAGCACATACAGTGATGAAAGTGAGGACGGCTTAAGCCGGTGCTAGGGGACGTGAGGGATGTTGTTCATTTTTGTAGTCTCTCATGAACAGGCTCAATCAAATCGAGTTTGCATTTTTGTTGTATGTAATGCCCCCGATGGTTAACTTAGTTTCAGATTTTAAATAACAATACAAGATCAATATATAAAATCTAAATAAACTGTAATTTAAATATGGATGCGGTACGTACTTTGATAGATGGCGAGACAAGCTCCCTCTTGTTTCCGAGTTGTATTAGTAATAAACTTAAGCTTAGTGTTTTCCTGGATACGAACTGAACGTGAGCTACTTAATTTGTCAAACACATTTCCCTTTATTTTAAATTTCAATTGTGACCCTTGAGTGATATTTATCATTTCAAACATCAAACTAGCTCTGTTTCTAGAAGGAAATATGCGACATTCACAAGACGTGTTCTTAAATTTGGGAGCCTCGATGGTATCAATATAAGCAGTCGTTGCATCTTGCATCCGGTCCTCTGTACATATTCTCAAAACTGTAAGGTAAATTAAGATGATTATTTTACAATATATGCTTTATAACAAGTGTTCAAGCTAAAGAATACTAAAAATATATTAATTATACTACTAAAACAAAGATAAAGAGGGTCATGATGGCCCTAATATCGCTCACCGGAATATCCATACTCTCTATGAACAAGTTATATTGAAAACTATAAGCAAAAGTAGATATAAAATAAAAATCTTAAATTGATATCACAAAGTTCTTTTTTCTGAAATAGTGCACACGTGAAAACATGTTGCTTTTGCAAAAGGACAACACTAGTTACATAAGAAGTCACTGGTTGCTATACATAATAAATGTTGTTGTTTTTTTTTTTTTAGTCAGTGCATCCTATGAAATTCAATGGTAGATTCAGCCGTTGCTATGTAAAGTTAATGTTTGCTGGTTGCAATGAAAATTCACAGTTTGCTATGAGAAGTCAATGGCTGCTATGAAATCACTAGTTGCTATAAAAACTAAGGTTAAGCAAATTTAGATTTAGCTTAGATTTCTTTTACAATATACATATAAGGAAAAATCTATTTTCCCACAGGGAGTGGGCAATTTTTTGATCCCAGGGCTTTATTGAACATTTTTGTAGAGGTTAGCCACACAATATTTCAAATATCTAATCTAAAGCCTCAACATTAAAATAGAAGAAGGTATTTTATACTATACACATATAAGAAAAATCAAGCACCTACTTTCGGGTGGTGCCATTTTTTACGTAAAGGCTATAATTTGAAGAAAAAAAACTTAGTAGACGTCTACAAGATAATAATTCATGACAAATAATTAAACTTTAGCTCTTGTAGTTTTAGCGGAGACTTTTTAACTATATAGATATATGGAAAATCTATGTCCCCCAAAGGACATAGACCCCAGATCTATAGTTTTAACAATTTTGTAAAGGTCCACCTAGCAATGTTTCATACCAAATTTCTAAGCTGAAGCCTCTATAGTACCCCAGAAGAAGATTTGTGAGCTACCATATAAATTGGTCGAGATGTTCATGCTATATACATGTATATTGTAGTTATTTGTAAAGCCGTTTGCAATAGAGATTAAGACATTTACTTTTAGTTTATATAAATATTTCTTGATATATTAAGTTATCGTTCTTTTCCAAAGATAATAATTAAAAATCTCATTTCTTTCCTTGGAATGAATGCAAACTTTACTTTACCTCATTAAAGGGAAATAGTCAGGATTGATTAATCTGTAATACATATATGTATAAAAGTCTATGTAAAATGAGTGACCTTAAGTAGATCTAGACATTTTTTTCTATTTAAATATTTTCTTGATATATTAAGTCATCATAAATTCAAAGATAAAAAATCATAATATTCAAATATCTAATTTATTTTCTTGGTATTGGTACTTTTCTTTATCTTAGTTAAAGATAGATTATTAAGCAATAATTGAAAGCTATGTAATGCATATATGTAAATACGTATGTTTAAAATGAGTGACCCGGGACAGGCCAATTATTTATCCAAGGTTCGTCATTTCATAACTTAGGTAGATGATCCACAAGGCAATTCAACATGCCAAATATCTCAGACGCATTTGTCTATGAATAATAAGTGACCCCGTGAGGTGGTCTTAAATTTTACCCCATGGCTATAATTTGAACAAAATTGAAAGAGAGTCACTATAAAAATGTCTCATACCAAATATTTAAGCTAAAGCCTCTATAGTGTAAAAGAAGAAGATATAATTATATATCTATATATCATTATAAAAAAAATCAATGCACCCCAGGGACAGACCCAAGTTGGGCCCCAGGGTTTTTATTTTAACAAACATGGTAGTCACCTACTAGAAAAATGTTTCATGTTAAATATCTAAGCTCTAACTCTTTTGCGTATTTAATTTTTTTTTACTATGATTATTCATATCAGGAAAATAAATGACACAATAGCACGTGGCTAATTTTGATCCAAGGGCTTTTGTTTGAACAAAATTGATAGACACCCAATACAAGATGTTGCATGCTAAAATTATATCTAAGCTCTAGCTCATTTAGTTTTTTTTGGAAAAAGATTTTTTTTATTATAAACATATAAGGAAAATCAACAAACCCCATGGGCGGGGCCAATTTTGACCCTAGGACTTTTATTTGAAGACATTTGGAAGACACACACTAGAAGATGTGTCATGCTGAATATCTAAGCTCTATTCACCCTCATCCTTTAAAACTTTGCGCTCAGATGATTTAAAAATAATAATGTTTTGCGTTAATCAGTCGGGCATACTTCCTGATCGGGAAACAAGGGGATTCCCCTTCAAGGCTTCCCGATCAGGCAACAAACGTCAAAATCCTTTCCGATCGGGAAGTTTTTTTTTTTTTTTTTTTTTGTCTTTTTTACGTAGTTCAGGAAAATGGCCGGTGCATAACAGTTTTCAATCCACTTCAATATGAATATCACACTTTAGTGCAGAAAATATACATCTAAAATCCTACAAGGTTATTTTCGTTTAAAATGCCTACAATTAGAATAATCTGATAGTGAACTAAGTAAAGTTTTTAGATTTAACCAAAACCTTGCCACCAGAGCTGCATCAGTACTAAGGGTGTAGTACTTAAGTACCAGTACTTGGCAAATTATGCAGTACCATTACCAGTACCAGTACTAGATTTTAGCTCGGTACTGCAGTACCAGTACTTTTTTTGGTGAAGTAATTAAGTATCAGTACCATTTCTTTTATATATTCATCAAAGTTTGAATAAATACAGTGTCAAACAAATAATTGCAAATATTATTCAGCAAAGAAATAAAATCATAATTTACTTTAAAGTTTACATAACACATTTACAACTTTATAGTTTTAACATACTTTTTACAAACAATATTTACAACATATATTCATGTCATATCTTATTGTTTAGTAACCAGTCAACTGTTACATCTTTCATTTAAAACACAACAGTCTTTTGTTGCCTTTCACACCTTCACACCTCTGTGCAATTTATACCGTAGTAAATAACAACTTTTTATGGTGCTAACAATATCACTTTTTTCACTTGAAATGGGATTATTTAGAGTAGAAGAAATTAATTAGTGTTTATTTTGCTCTTTTACTAGTAAATACAAAGTAATAAAAGATTCTAATAAGAAAATTTTAGGGTAAAGAGTAATTGAGTCTGTTTATCTTAATTTAATTTTTACTTAAAGTCTTTGGTGCTTTTTATGATGAATACTATGTTAACATTTGAAGGAATATTGCAGTAAATTATCTTTAGATTTGATAACTTACTTTTTCACAAAAAATAAAATATAGTTAATGTAATTTACAGCTTTATTTTATGAGAAAAATTGATGCTATTTTTAATTTTTATCAAAACCAAAAGTACTGGGTAATGCAGTAGCAGTACCACTTTTTAAAAAAGTAATGCAGTACCAGTACCAGTAGTAGCAAAATTTTGTAAGAGTAATTCAGTATCAGTACCAGTACTTGCAAAATCGCTGCAGTATGTACTGCAGTACCAGTACCAGTAATGCAGCTCTGCTTGCCACTTCCCGTTTTGGAAACGTTGCTTCCTGATCAAGCATATAGCAAATTATTTATTGTTAAAAGTTTAAGATACACTGCTTCCCAATCTGGAAGTACATTATATTTGTAGTAGTACCTTGATGAATAGAAATTGCCAAGCCTGGCCAGTTTTTAAAGACATGTGGCACATAGTTCAAACACGAGTGGAATATATCTGGGGAAGCTTGTGTTCTTGTAAGGCGTAATATTACCTATCAAAACATTAGCTATACTTGACGGACAGTACAAAAATCATCATTACAATATAAAAGTTTCACACCGTTAAGATTGTATAGCACACATTGAACAACATTGCACAGAGTGTAATTTCTCAAAAAATTACCATGCAGCTCAAATAAGTTAAATGTTAACTAGAGCTCACAGACGGATTGGGAAACTCTGAGCTTGAAGGTAATGATTTTGATAGATATAAATATTTTTTGGCTTTAGCTCAAGACGTGTTTCCATACTACATGTTTTTATAGTGACTGTATAAAATATAAAATAAGATAAAATATATAAAAACACAAGAAATGTCATAATCACATATATGTCTTTCCACACTTTCTTGCTCTGACTCATACTATTGGTAACTTTGTTATAGAAATATGCCATAAATGGGTACATGGAAGTGTTCAGTTATGGGAAAAGAAAAATAATGACCAATATATAACCTGAAATTGAATGAAATCTATTTTAAGTAAGTAATAAAAACTGGAGGATAGCTGGAATAAAGTATATATTATCATATAAATGTATCTATGAGCATCTTTTTTGAATATTTTAACATTCAATGTTATTGTGACATTGACCTCTGACCTAATGACCTCAAAAACAATAGAGGTCATCTTCTAGTAATAATCAATTAAAATGTGAATCACTAAAACTTAATAACGAGTAGTTTTGAAGATTATGAGTGGAAACCTTTCTGACATTTAACGTCCTTGTGACCTTTAACCTAAAAACCTCAAAATCGATAGGGGTTATCTCCTAATTATAACCAATCAATAAGTGAAATATAAAAGATTTAGTGATAAATAGTTTTCAAGATAATGAACGGAAATCATTCTGACATTCAAGGACCCTGGAACCTTTAAACTGGTGACCCCAAAATCAATAAGGGTTATCTACCATATATGACTTAGCAATGCATGAAAAAGGAAAACTTTGTGATAAATACATTTCAAGATATTGTGCGGAAATCATTTAGACATTTAAGCCCCTTTGACCTTTACCTTTGACCTTGTGACCCCAAAATCAAAAAGGGTCATCTACTAGTTATAACCAATCAATATGTAAAATATGAGGACTTTGTGATAAATAGTTTTCAAGATAATGAGTGGAAACCATTATGAACTTTAAGACACCTTTGACTTTGACCTTGAAGCTAGTTACCCCAAATCAATAGGGCTCATCTTAAAGTTATGACCAATCAATATATGAAATATGAAGACTTTTTGATAAATAGCTTTTAAGATAATCAGCGGAAACAATTAGGTCTAACGACGAAAAACAAACATATTGAAAGTCCCTCAGACCTTGACCTTTGACCTAAAGACCTAAATATCGATAGTGGTCATCTGCTAGTTACGACCAAGCAATATGTGAAATATAATGACTTAGTGATAGATAGTTTTCAAGATAAGGAGCTTAAACCATTCTGACATTTAAGGTCCCTTTGACCTTGACCTTTAAACTAGTGACCACAAAATCAATAGGAGTCATCTACTACATATGACTAAACAATTTGGAAATATGAAGACTTTGTGGGAAATAGTTTTCAAGATGAGCGGAAACCAATTTGACATTTAAGGTCCCTGTGACCTTGACCTTTGACACAGTAGCCCTAAAATCAACAAGTGTCATCTGCTTAAGTTATGACCAATTATTATGTGAAATATGAAGACTCTGTGATAAATAGTTTTTAAGATAATAACTGCGGTCTAACGATGGACTGACCGACCGACATTAGCAAATCAATATACCTGCTCTTCTTCGATGTGGGGCATAATAAAAATAACTAGGGCCGGCAACGAAAAGGAAAATTAATGTTAGAGTATTTATTTTCCATGTTCGAATATATTCGAATATTCGTTTTTACAAAATTTGAGAAGACATCACCTATGATGCTATCATTTGTATCTGAACTGCTAGACACACCAGACTTAAAAACATTCAAACCATGACACTGTTGATTTGTTGCCCAGATAACTTTATTTGTTGGTGTTGTCCCAAGCAATCTCAATCAACATGAAAGATTTCCAGAATAGAACGCGCTAACATAAAGAAAAAAACTTCCTTCCCAAACGGGAAACATTTTATGGTGAATATTCAGGAAACAGTGTTTCGAAACGGGAAGCAGCTACTTCTTAGTAAAATCGTAAAACTTCACTTAAATTCACTTTCAGATTATTTTAATTTTAGACATTTTAAAAGAAAATGACTCGGTAGGATTTTAGATGTATCTTTTCTGCACTTAAGTGTGATATTCATATTGAAGTGGGTTGAAAACTATTATGCACCGGCCATTTTTTCCTGAACTACGGAAAAAGGCCAATTAACTTCCCGATCGGGAAGGATTTTGACGTTTGCTGCCTGATCGGGAAGCCTTGAAGGGGAATCCCCTTGTTTCCCGATCAGGAAGTATGCCCGACTGTTAATAAAGTAAAACGTTCCGGATGAAAATATCTATGTTGTTACCTGAAGTAGGTTTTTAACCATTCAGCAATGATTTCGTGCATACGGAAATATGATATCATATTTCCTTCATACATATATTTTTGGAAAATTTAACCAATAATTTTTGATGCAGAAATAAAACTTTATATACATTTGAAACATGTCTTTACTTTTTCTCGACTTGACTTGCTTTTTAATGTCTTTTTATCTATATGTATGCTTATCCTGATTCTGTAACTATAATCTATTGATGTTAAAGTAAACATTCATATATCGTATAATCGCATGGTTTGGAGATTTTCTTTGCTCTCTCTAACCCCTCATATTACGTACTCCTTCAATGAGGATTTGATAAGGATTAGAAACATGTGTAGATATAAAACAGTGCTCATTTTCTCCTTAATTCATATCGGAAAAACTGATACATGTATATCATCTTTTTTCTTTTTATTGTGACGGCGACAACAAAAACAACTGAACAAAACAACTACATTTACTCATTGAAGGAACGCACACAACTGATTTATTATATATAGCTGTAGGGCAGCTTACGATAGCATTAGTTAGTAATAGTTCATTTTTTTATTTATTTTTTTATTTTATTTATCTTTTTGTTGGGAGAGGGTACATTTGAAACATTTGTTTTTCATTTACTTATTTATTTATTGCCGATTTCTGTTATAAAAAAAATAATGAAATTGCGATTAAATAGAGGATATTTGTTTGTTTGTGTGTAAGATGAAATTTTATTTCATCGAGTGGGCTTTAAAAACAGAATTCTCACGAGTGGCTACGCCACTCGCGAGAATACTGTTTTTAAAGTTCACGAGATGAAATAAAATTACATCTTACACAACAAACTGACAAATTTTCTTTTTATTTTATGCTTAAAAACAAGTTAAAACGAAATTTCCATAATTTTAACGTTAATATTAAAATTGTTTCCCCCATTGAGAGCCCCATTTAGTCGGAATTTCTCATTAAAATCAAGAAGTCTTGAGCTGAAAAATAAGTCCGCCAATCAACGTTAAATGACGGTGATATTTATTCATTTTATTAAAAAAATATGAATGATCGCTTGTTTTAATAATAAAAACAAACAATTCTTGTAGGAGAGAAAGTCCAACCATCCATCCATATTTCTGTTACTTACTGCGAATTTATATTAGACCTGGCTTTGTAAATTGTAAGCGGCAGCCATTTTTTAAAGTTGTGTATTTCATGGGAGGAAAATAATTGTGTAAGATTCAGAGGGATATAATTTCGATTTGTTAGTCATACACCTTTTTAAAAGAAAGAAAACTTATTTGAGGATTGTAACAGACAAAAAATAAGTGTTGACAGATGTGAAAACATTCAGAAAAGGAGCTAGGAAAATGGAAAACTTGGAAGCTTGCTCAAGAACGCTGGGTTGTTTTACTTATTCTTCGAGTGATGGCTGTCAATGCTTTTCAATTTTTCATAAAGCATACGGCAGTTATTACTCGTAGGATACTTTAATATGCCCAAATGTCATCAAGAGCAGTTTTGCATGAGGAAAGAATGTATTTTTCAGACTGTAAAAATGAAACAAAAAAATTTAGAGACGAAATTTGGTGATTGGAATTTGAATGAATAGAAGTAAGTTTTCTTCTTTTTATTACTTTTGACATTTAGGTTATTTATCAATTTCAGCTTTGCTTTATCTTTAAACAGCCTGACATTGTCAGAATTGTCAGCAAAAATAAAATTGAGGTACCACATGGGGAAAATTTTAAAAAAGTAGTTTCGTCATTGAAAAGAGTGAAATTATATTTTGATAATTTTCACTGTGAAATTACCAAATATAATTTTCACGGATAAATCAGTAATCCACTGAAAAGCATAAAATAAACAGTTATAATATATGAAACGAGTTTGTAACGAGGGTATAACACTTACTTGATTATATAACTCATATAATATCTACATACCGTTCACAAATATTCTACTTACCCGATGTCTTTACAACATTTCCACAGAATCCTTCTTGGAGACTTTGTGATTCTGTTAAAGTAAATTTTAAACAATATCAAGCACTCATATTTATGTCAATGATACTGTAGTGATCTATTTAAATAACAAAAGAACATGATCTACAGGGAAAATAAATGCCGTATCAGTGCTATTAATCATTCCTGATGTAAATGGATTTTTTTTTCAATTGATCCTAAAGAAAAATTAATCTTGTTGATCAAATCACTTAAATATTTCATAAAAATATAAACATCCCCCTATACCTGATAAAGGTCTTTATATTAAGACAATAAGCTTGATATGAGAAAAAATACAGATCTATAAATAAAAGAAATGTCAATTTCCATATAAAATTATTATCAAATAAACTTACCATACAGGAATAACAAAATGATAAACGTTAATAAATGAAGAAAACACATGTTTAAAAATGTATTAATGCTATCCTTGTCAACCACTTTCACAAATGAAACCCATTGTGTGTATATATAAATTTAGACTTTACTACGGATGTAAAATTGGTTTTGATACACTAGCTTTGTGTTCTTCCTGGCTTACTACTGGTGCAGTTATATTCATATTGTTTAAGTGGCATTATGTACATTCAAGGGAATATAAAGTGAGTTAACAGATAAAAATCAAAATAAGTTAACATTTTGCCCTCATTCCTTTCAATTTTAAAATTTATTTCACATATACAATAAATAGCACACGTAGACAAAAAAAATCTGTAAATACCTTAAACGTTCAATATGTAAAAAAGAGTTGGGAAGTCTTTTTATATTAAAGGCAGATTTTATATTTCTTTGTTATCAACTGTTGGTAAATCACCATTTTAACAGTCAATCTTTCAAAATATTTGATCAATTCAGGTCAACTTGACAATGTAAAATTATCATAATGTCACTTTAACTTCAATGTTTCGGCTAGAATACATGTTCAATTATCATTGGCGTAGTATAATATATATTGCATTATACATCTTTCTAGAATATTTAAGTGTCTCTTTAGTTTTTTAATAGTATATGTAGGTAGAGAGTGGGTAAATGAGGGTGACAGTGAGTGAGTGAGTGAGTGAGTGAGTGAGTGAGGTGAGTGAGTGAGTGAGTGAGTGAGTGAGTGAGTGAGTGAGTGAGTGAGTGAGTGAAGTGAGTGAGTGGGTGGGTGGGTGGGTGAGCGTGTGAGTGAGTGAGTGAGTGAGTGAGTGAGTGAGTGAGTGAGTTAGTGAGTGAGTGAGTGAGTGAGTGAGTGAGTGAGTGAGTGAGTGAGTGAGTGAGTGAGTGAGTGAGTGAGTGAGTGAGTGAGTGAGTGAGTGAGTGAGTGAGTGAGTGAGTGAGTGAGTGAGTGAGTGAGTGAGTGAGTGAGTGAGTGAGTGAGTGAGTGAGTGAGTGAGTGAGTGAGTGAGTGAGTGAGTGAGTGAGTGAGTGAGTGAGTGAGTGAGTGAGTGAGTGAGTGAGTGAGTGAGGGAGTGAGTGAGTTATGATTCAAAGCAGATATTGTAAAGTAGGAAGAAGATTGTTGAACTTGTTGGACATTGACTGAATATAAATATATGTATTTGCAGGTGATTTTCTTGGACGTTGATCCAGCCAAAATGCATAGTTGTTGTAAACCTGCGAAGAAGGAACGTTCCAGAATTACATGTCAGTTACATCCTGGACACTTGTTGAATGGACATGCAGAAACTGACCAATCTGATTTCTTCCGTGTGTCAAAGTATCTAGAGAACCTTTACATCTATGTAAGTTACCATACTATTATAGATTTACTATAAACATAGATTTAGAACTGTAGTAGTGGGGTCCCGTACTCCTATATACCATGGGCATTCTCTTGCGTTCCGGTTCATATGAATTAACACGAGAGTCGTTCATGATGATAATTCTAGAGAGGAACGATGAGTCCGGTCCGTCCATGCTTAATGGATGAATTGCGGGTGCGGCGACCCTATTCCAATTCTCTTTTTCTTTCAGTAAACTGGGAAATCACGCGCAAAGCACAGACACTTACAGGTTAGTTTTAAAAAACGCTAAATCACAATTTGACTTATTCTAGTTTTTGCTGCGATTTCTCGAACAGTTGTCTGCGGTCGCGGTTAATTACGTACTTATTGGAGTAACCTTTTTTGTCGTTCTTGGCAGCTTTTCTTTCTCGCGGCATATTTTTGTCAATCGGAAGCAGAACCTCTTTTGCCACTTATACATTAATGATTGAGATACATTTGCATATTATTTTTTTTCCGCATCTTGCGAATTACACGTAATTTGATTTTGATAAAAAATAGCATTTTTTTGGTTTGACTCTTTGTTTGTACGTATAAACATCATTAGTCTACACAATACAGTGTGAAAACTAAATGATAATGAAGAATTTGTACATAAAATAGAGAAAAACAGAATCCCTGAAGAAAGCCCAACACGACAAAGTTGAAAATGTTGAAGGCTCGGTTCTGAATTTCTGACATATCTGACATTTGTTGGAAATAACAACGTCAAATGAAAAAAATGTAAGTAAAGCCCACGTATACTTCTTCTCTTATAATTTACGATACACGTGAATATCATGTCCGTATGTCCTTTTGAGATATAAATGATTCGGAAATATTCGATTGCATTGTATAATAAAGCGGACATTTAATATTATATATTTAGAAATATAATAATTAAAGTTTAAAGTTAATTGCTTTTTAAGTGTTAATTAGTCGGATTATTATTTCCTGATATAAGTATCATATACCGAGCAATAATGCAAAACAAATTCTTAAAAGGGAAGATCCTTCGAGCGGAAAGAATCAGAGAAGTAACAATTGAAATGTCAAAACTTTGTTTTATTTTTAGTCAAAGATCCTGGTACAAGAAATATGTTAGATCATAAATCTTCCATACTCAGCCCTTTAGTCAGAACTTGTCTCAAATACGATACATGTTACTTATTCCGCATCCTGTTCAACTGCTGATATATCAATTATTCAACGAAAATACTTAAGAAATTGTTGATAAATTAAGAGTTTGTCGTAATTCATTTAAAATCATATAATGAGATTCCTTCCTGTTTGGATTGTACAAAGATATTTTAAATTTATTAAATGAATTTCATTACTTTCTCAATAAACAGTTTGTTGTAGTTGCCTCCCTTTTAAAATCATTATAAATTTTATAAATGGTACGCCTTAAGTCCTTACAAACTGACATTAAACAATCATTAAAAAACAATGGACACGGGGTGGGAATTCAATCGCCCCAAGAATATCGTGACGCACATAAAGCCTTCAAACCATTGATAGACGATGCAGAACAACACAACCAGACTACGCGCATATCCGGGAATAAACTTTTCATTAACAAGAAATTAGTGAAGTGTTTTGTTGATGGCAAGATATGTGAACCACCGCACAAACGTGATTAGGATTGTCACGAGAATTCGGACATCAGATTATTAACATGGAACATTAATGGTTTATGTAGAAAACTTTCAGATACAGACTTTTTAGAAATTATTCATCAATATGATATAGTTCTTTTGTCCGAAACATGGGTTTCTAAGCAAACATATTTAAATTTAGATTTAAGTGGATATTGTAGTGAACACCTATATGGCAATAAGACTATTAACACGAAGAAAGGTCGATATAGCGGTGGTCTATCAATATACTATCGACAAAATCTTAGTAAACATATAGAAATTATTGAAAGAATACAAAATGGAATGTTATGGCTTAAACTATCTAAATGTTTATTTGATTTTAAGGAAGATGTATACATTTGTCTTGCTTATATACCACCAAATTACCTCAAAGCTTGTTAATACAGATAATTTTGATTTTTTTGAAGAAATAGAGACAGGGTTTGAAAAATACTCATCAATGGGGAAATGTTTCTTATTAGGGGACTTAAACAGTAGAATTTCAAACGAAGTTGATTATCTCGATTTCGACAGATACATTGATAATGATGACCAGTTGTCATCTGTTTTCATTCCGCCACGTGTATCAAAAGATCACGTCCTCGATACTTTCGGTAAACGGCTCATAGAATTATGTCAGTCTACATCGTATATAATAGGCAATGGCCGTCTAGGTAAAGATCAAGGCATAGGAGAGTTTACATTTCATTCTCTAAATGGGTCTAGTGTAGTAGATTATTTTTTATTAAAACCAAACGATATTTGTCATGTAAAACATTTTGAAATACTAAGCCCTAACGAATTTTCTGATCACTCGGGAATATCTATAAGTTTCAATAAAAAAACGTTACAAACTACATTAAATAATAATAACGACAAACAACAAAATATTCGTATTGCTTGGGATAACTCAAAGATTGATGAACTTAATTATAATTTATCATTAAAGAGTAATGAAATACAAAATCTGACAGATATGATTAACACAACAAATAATATAAATGATATAAACAGAACGCTTCATAAACATTCTAAAAGAGTCGGCATCTTGTATGCTAAAATGTTCAATAAATAAAAGCCGACCAAACATTTTAAAAGTAACAAACAACCTTGGTTTTAATTCGGAGTGTTATGATGCAAGATCTATGTTCAAAAGAAAAAGAAATATATTCTTACGTAACAAACACTGTGCTAATTCACGGCAAGAATATATTCAGGCCAAAACAGCATATAATAAAGCCAAACGTTTCAATAAAATGAAATATAATAACGATGAAAAAACAAAGGCTGGCAAAACTAAGTAAAGCTAACCCAAAGAATTCTGGAGAAAAAATAAAAAAATCAATATACAAAAAATAAAGGAACTGCCGAAAATCTTGATATTCAGGACATACATGAACATTTTAAATCATTATACAGTACCGAAAGTATAAATGAAAACGAAAACTTAAATGAATCTATAAATGATGAATATCTAGACCAAATGATTTCTTATATGGAACTTAAAAATGCTGTTTTCTCACAAAAAATAATAAAAGCAGCGGCTTTGATACTCTGCCAGCGGAGCTTTTTAAACATACGTTTACTTAAATTGCACCTTTTATGCTCCATCTATTCAACCATATATTTACTACCGGACAATATCCTGAATCGTTTGGCGAAGGAATAATAATACCTATATACAAAGGAGGGGACATAGAAAACCCACAAATTTATAGAGGAATAACTCTAATTAATATTATATCAAAGATCTACTCTCAAATTCTGTTAAACCGCTTGACGAACTGGACCCAAACAAACGAAACAATCATTGAAAATCAATTTGGCTTTCAGGCAGGTAAATCAACAATTGATTGCGTCTATATTTTACATTCAATTATAGCTAAAACTTTATCGTTAAAGAAAAAATTATATTGTTGTTTTATAGATTTCGAAAAATGCTTCGATGAAATTACGAAATCTCATTTACTTCATAAACTAATAACAGAAAATGTAAGCTCCCGATTTGTTAATTCTATAAGAGCTATGTATATTACAGTGAAAGCATGCGTAAGATATAAATCAGAAAACTCAACTTTTTTCACGTCAAACATTGGAGTTAAACAGGGAGATCCCAGTTCCAGTCTGATGTTC